TATATATATTTATTATATGTGCATTTGAGAAAGAAAAGTAATTTTTTACATTTCATTGTTTGAATTTTCATCTTCTAGAAGTTTCGTTTACGCTTTTGTCATTTCTCCTTCACATTCGACTTAGACTCAGATTTTTGTTTTCGTAGAGTTTCTATTAGTCATTTCATTAATTAGATAAGGTTTTGGGGCTATCTAAAAATATATTAAAGATAATAATTTAAGCACAAAATCAAACTACAAATATTTAAAATATTTAAATTTTATGAACAATTTAAAAAGTGTTCCATCAACATTCTAATCGTTCTTTCCTTCTATTAGATATCTCGATATTCGATATATCAAACGCAGAAAAAATATCGAACGGTCAACAATGTCGAGTATCGAGAATTAGACCGCGCGATTATCAGTGATCGTACGGCGGGATCGATTAGGAATCGGGATGCACCTCTTTCTCTCTGGTCTAAGTAAATAGTTTGTAGCCTGTATCGGTCTGTAGTGTCTATCAGTGTCTATATTGTATCGCGATGGATCCGTAGTGGCAACGGCTACGATTTGAAGATGTGGTGTCGTTCATTGTAGAGCTCGAGTTCTGGTGGATGTGAAAACGAAGAGAACGCTGTTATTCATCGTCGTGATTTTCGTTGGAGTAAACCCGACGTGCGCAATTGGAAGGCATGCCGCAATTTCATAAGATCGAGATTAACAGGACGGAATGGGAGGTACCGGAACGGTATCAGTTGCTCACTCCCGTGGGCTCGGGCGCCTATGGTCAAGTCTGGTAAGCGACAACATCGTCAGCAGAGAACGACGTTGGCACAATCATCTGATGTTACATACGCGCGCGCGCGAGAAGAACCTTGACAATATACGTATTTGACAGAGACTGCCAAGAGACTCTTGACTAAAGCCCAATTCCACTAATGTAAGATTAATTTTAATCTCGGTTTAACTCTTGTTGATTTTGTACTGTTTATCTTTTTCTAATTCTAAGAAAACCGAGATTAAAGTTAATCTTACATTGGTGGAATTGGGCTTTAGTCAAGATTCCCTTGGAAGTCTCAAATACGTATATCACCAACTCTTACTGTTTATCTTTTTCTAATTCTTAGAATTAGAAAAAGATAAACAGTAAAAGTTAATCTACATTGGTGAGAGCTTAAGTCGCAACAAAATT